AAGCTTTGTGACAAGGGATTTGGCAATGATTTCTTGGTGTTATCTCTCTCGCTGTGTGTTTCTCTGTCAAATAAATAAATAAAATCTTTAAAAAAAAAAAAAGAGCCTAGTGACCTTTTGTCCAGAGGCCTTAACCACACAGTTAACATAGGAGCTGGGGTATCTTCTGATATTCAGATGATGATCAAGAAAGGGGTGGGGCCAGAGATGTTATCTGGTAATTCTCTTTCAACACACGTGCACATACACACACATACACCCAACCACTAACATGTGTTAGTTTATTTTTTTTAAAAAAGGTTCTAATACAAGGCCCCAGAGTAGTGCATGCAAACAATGACCCTCAAGCTGTCATTGTCAGATGACCAGTACAATCTGCTTCGATAGTCTGTGACCTGGTAAAGAGACCAGCTTCTCTTTTTGAGTACCAAGGCCTAATTATGCCAATTTGTGTCCAACCTACCATCTGGTACATGATGACTCAGAAGTACACTTTAGTATCCGAACAGCAAAGACACACTGAGCTGCAAGTACAATGAGTTAAGTGTCCTTAGTGTATTAGACATGGAAAAATACAAACAAGGCGTAAAAAAGAAAAGCCAACTTCATTTGATGCCCGAATTCCCAAAGTCTCTTCCATACATGATCTAGGCCTAGGGATATTTGCCAACGCTGCATCAGGAACTTGCTCATTTTCTCATGAGATGGAGCTGTTTGCCTTGAAGGACTGCAGGAAGAGTGAAATATTCACATGAGGTAAGCACTTGAAGCTGTGGCTGCAATTCATGGGCCATCTTTATCTACCCTGACGATAACCGATCTCTGTAAATCCAACTTTGTGCCTGTGTGAATTCTGGGAAACGTTAGGGATAGAGAATTCTAATTCCGGTCAGGCCTATGATTATAGGAGAATATAGCCATGGAAGAATTAAATGGAAGAATTCATGGAAGAATACACCCATGGAAGAATTCAATCACATCAGAAGGTTTTAGTTTGGTTTAGTATATTCAGTGTTTTTTGTTTTTTAAGTTTAAAAATAATGTTTCTTATATGTGTGGTTCTTAATGCTCTTAGTTACTTACAGATTGCTACCTGGGTTGACTTCAGGAAAAGGGTACGTTCAGTAAACTAGCCTGAATTGCAATCACTAGCAAATGAAGAGATATATCTCATAAGAAAAGTAACTATGATGGAAAGCAGCATTTAGCTTCCGGAACTACCTGCTTTTTGGTGCATGCAGAGTGTCGTCCTCTTCGATCAGAGAGCAATGACAGACCAGCAGTAGGAAGCATGCCAGCCAGCCATGAAACCCTCCACAACGACAGCAGGAAGGGCATGAGAAGGAAGAAAGATGCCTGTGCCAGGCAATACTTTAGATACCTGGTTGTCAGCTTCCCAACCACAATAATCAACAAGGCTGGGAACTTGGTTGACGTTAGTAATCCACTCATATTCCTTTGTGAACAGAACCCCAACGCAAAGCGTCCTCCACACACCCTCCACCCATATCCCATTCCCACACCCCTATGCAAGATCCTTCCATTCAGCCCAAAGATCCAACAGATGCCAAAGAAATGTGAATAGTGTCAACAAAAATACAGACTACCTTTACACCACAGTTCTTCAAACATTCTCAAGACCAACAGGGGTCTTCCCAGAAGGTAACAAAATGAATCTCAGCTCTCACACCAGTAATCAGTGAAAGGATGACCCCTAGTTAGTTAAGGGGTATAAAGTGACTAGTGGTCAGTTATTGTTCTTTAATCAGAAACGCATAATTGCAGGAACTCTACCTAGAGCTGAGCACACTTGAGTATCATGATGTCAGACATCAGTTAAGGATTATGTAAACCAAAGCACCAGAGCTAAATTAACAATTTCCCTTTTTGCCCTTAACTGATGAAGAGTTCAAGTACTGTGGTGCTACTGGAATGATCCTGGGTTCTGCCCCGTCAAACACTTCCATTTCTTAATACTAAACATTGGTAGGAAAATACCCCACTGATGCCCCAGGTCAGGACAGGATGAACCAAAAGGGAAGAAGGCTGATCAACTAGCCCTGAAAATCATTTTAATTTATCTTCTGACTCAGGGAAGCTTCCACTCTCCTGGCAATGTTCCAGAAAAGCTTCCTGATTACCAATCCTAAATTACAGACTGGGCCCTCTGAAAAAGCCCAAGTCAGAGTAATTTCACCAAAGTTCTAGAGGGAGGTTTCGCTGGGGACAGACAATTGTTCTGTCAGTCATTCAGAGCAACATCTGGGTAGACAACTCTGCTCCCAAATACTACTGCCTCCATCAACCAAAAAGTTCACCACTCCTATTTCCTAAACAGACCATGGTCAGACCCAGTGATCCCCCTGCACTGAAGTTTAGCCTCCTGAAAGAGACAAACAAGGACTTAAACTGACAGGGAAATGCCCTGGTAAAACATCAGCCCCCATCACCCCCTCTTAAAAAGAGGTGCTGGGCTCTCCTGGGTCTGAACTACTGCCTTCATAGCAGTAGGTCCCCCTTCTGCCGCACAGGTGGGATGTACCCAGCAGGGTAGAGGAAGCCCCAGGTGAAGAACCCACAGCCTAGGGGGACAGACTTCTGTCAGACCACAGTAAGGTTTAAAGGAATCCATCGAGTCTGTCTTGGCTAAAGAAAGTGCCCTATAATACTGCATCAAGACCAAAGACTAGGCAGGAGCAAGTGGACCCACGAGGGCTGCCCAAGAGAACTGCATTTAGTTCTACTCAGTAATGAAAATTTAAAATCCCTTCTAAAGGGAAAACCCGATTCAAAAAAACAAAAACAAAAAAATTCTTTTAAAAACCCCAGGAAATACAGCAAATGAATGCTGATTCTTCCTGTTCTGGTTTCCACTTTATTATTCAAGTGTAGTGGAAAAACCTCCAAGTGCACAGCACGAAACAGCAGATTCCCTGCCCTGACCTGTGTGCATCTTAGTTGTCACCCTTCCTCCTGCCCCATCGGGCCCACCAGCCCTGTCCTGCTCCACAGGCTCCTGCCAGGCCCTGGGCCCAAAGATTCCCTGCCCACAGTCAGTGGGGTCAGTCGGTGCCCCCCTTCTGCTTGGCCAGGGTGCGCTTCAGCTCCCTCAGGTTCTCTGTCAGCACTTCCACCTCATCCAGGCGGCCACACTGCTTGGCATCAAAAATGTACGCCTTGATGTTATCAATCTGCTGGAGGAGGAGCTCCTCCTCTATGGGCTCCTCTCCCTCTGGCCCACTGTCACTGTCCATCTCAAAGGGGTTGGTACAGGTGGCTTCCTCAAAGGGGTTGCCAGAAACAGGAGGGCTTGAGGGCCTCTGGTGGGGATGCTCATCTTCATCATCGAAGGGGTTGGGCGCTGGACTATCTGGGTTAGTGAAGGGATTCCCTGCAACAGCCTCCTCCTCTTCTTCCTCAAAAGGATTGTATTCTTTGAGGATGGAGACTGAAGGGCCAAAGGAACACTCTGCAGCAGGAGGGCTGATAGTGCCCTCTGCTGTGGGGCTGGAGGGGTCTTCCTCATCGAAGGGGTTTAGGGAGGCCAGCTCATTTTGCTGTGATATCATGCTCTGGGGGAAGAATTCCTGGCCAAGGGCTGGGGGTCCAGACCACACTCTGGCTGGCTCGAGAGCTGAGCTGGGGGCAGGGGTCTCCGCAGCTACACTGCTCTGAACTGAGGAAGAGCCTAGATCCAAAGCATAGGCAAGGTGGGTACGAGGCTCCCTGCCAGGCTCCAGCTGAAAAGGCCTGATTTCTCGGAAGTCCAGGGACCGAGTCCGTGTATGTAGGGACGCGGCCCGGAACTGCTCCCTCTCTCGTTCCCACTCCCGTTCACAAAGCCTCTGCAGCTGTTCTCGCTGCAGGTCCTCCTCCTCAGCCTGCCTCCGGGACAGCTCAATGGCCTTCTCCGTCTGCTGCTGGTCATACTCATCCTGCAACTGCCGCAGGTTCTCCTGCAGTGTGCGCACTTCATCCGTCCGCCCGGCAGCCTTGGCCTGCCTAATAAATGATGTGATGTTGTGGATCTGCTGGAGGAGGGGGTCCGAGTCTTCACTCTGCCCCGGACTTCCTGACAGCGGGAGCCAGCCCTCAGCCTTTCTCAGGGGGGCAGGTCCCCCTCGAAGGGACACCACCTCCCCGTTGGCCGCACGAGATGCCAGGTCACTCCGCCTTTCCTCAAACCGTTGCTGGGATTCCAGGACAACCTGGGGAGACACCAAAGCCCAAGAGAAGAAATACAGTCACCAGGCCAACAGCAGCCACATCATCAGCCACCCCCACGGTCCCGCTGTCCCTGTGCTGATGAGACTCCAAATGCCCACCTCAGGACTAAGGTATCCAACTGCTAAGTCAAATCACGCTTTTGGTTTTGGGGGAAAGAAGGGACGGAGCCTGATTTTCACAACTAAATTAATGACAGTAAGTTAAGGGATAAGATTTTCTCAATTTTAGAGTCACTGGCCGTAGGCTTGTCTTAAACCTCTGAGGTCTAGTATCACTCATCCACACTAGACTCTCACACGATATTAAACGCACACATTATTTTGATTAGTGTTGCATATTCCAAAGCATTCTACAAAGAGCTCCCTGGTGTCTGGGTCCTCTGCAACCTGTGCTACAGGGAGAACTGGCAGCCTCCATGGTATTCTGGACGAGAGAAAATCAGCAGGATCTCTGAAAGGCAAATAGGTCTGACCTGGGAAGAAAAATAACTATTCTGAATCTACAGAGGAGAGGCCAGAAAAGAACAGAAGAGAGATGCAAACCGGACAGCAGTGAGTTCTGATTTAACATGATCTCAAAGAGGGCCGCTTGGGAGCCTGGGGCGGCCTCTAGGCTCAAGGAGGCCGCCAACATCCCTGCATTTCACTTGCCTGTCTCTCCAGGATCTTCTTTCTCTCCATTTCCTGTTTCCTTTTCTTTTTCAATTCCTCAAACTGTTCTCTGGTTGGCAGTGACATCAAACCCAGCAACTTTTCCTGTAGGGAGTCACGGACAATTTTGTATTTAAATCCTTTTAGGAAGAAAATGAGCCTAATGAAGTCTGTTTGTAAGATTCCATCCAAGGCCCACACCCCCGCTACCCCTTCCCTGCTCTAGGTTTCTCCACAGCACTTTTCACCATCTTAGAAATTCTATATTGTAGTTATTTTTTTTGTCTATCTCCTTCCAGAAAAAAAAGCTTTATGAGAACAGGAATGTCTTTTTGTTGATGTCAGGACACGCAGCACCTAGCACACTGCCTAGTACACAGTAGGCATTCACCAAGTGACTGCTGAATACAACACTAGTCAAAAGGAGAAGGGGCCTAATTCTCTGCAATACGGTGCTGGAAAACTAACCGAACAGGGCTCGCTCTGTCATTAAGCCCAGATGTGGTTCACTGTGGCTCTCCCAAGGGCTGTTCTAGGTAGAAGCAACTCAACTCTAACCACCCAGGGTTAGTCTGCCTATGAACAATCAGCTGTTTCCTCCCAAGCAATGGCCCAGGAAGAGTCCCTCAGGAGCTTATCCTGAGGAAGAAATGGCATGTCTGTCAGGCTGTACTCACACTAGCGAAAAGCAGGAATCTATCAGATGCTCAATGAAAGGGGAATAATTAAATAAAGGATGGTGCATAGAAAGTCGTATTCTGCAGCCATTCAAATGGTAACTATTAAAATGAAGACTATGTAGGAAGTGCTTATGATATAAAATTCAGTGTTAAAAAGAGAAGACAAAAATTTATAACTATGCACTAATCATAACTACTTTATATAACAAATGCAAATGGAAAAAAAGGAGGAAAATATACCAGAATGATGTGTAATGGTACGGGGGACAAAGGATTAAGAAGTTTTTACTTTTCTCTGTAATTCAAATTTTTCTCTAAATGTGGCACAATTCTATTTACAATTTTAAAAAATAATAAATGTACAAATAGAGAACAAACCATTGGCACGGTCTGCCTTCTGAGAGGCAGAAAATCAGGGGAGGAAAATGAGATGTTTCTGACACCACAGGTTGGCTTTACCTGCACAAAAAGTGTAGCTGAGTATCTGATCATCCTCTGCAGCCGCAAAGTGTTTGGATGTGGTGGAGGGTCCTGGTTCAAGCCTAAGGTTAAGATCTTCTTACTGAATTAGAACAAACACATCAATGAATGTATCAGGTGCTGCCAGCCCCAGAAACAAGGGTTAAATCTCTGAGTTGCCGGGCTTTTGTGCCAGGACCATCTGTGGAGGAAGCAGGTTAAAGACTCCACGGAATATCCTTGAAGGCAAAGCCCATTCCTTATCCTCTGGTTGTACCCAAAGCCCCTGACACAGCACAGGGTGTCTAACCAACACTCAGCCATTGAGGAACTGACCACACATGCAGGGCCAACTTCATGGGTGAGTGACCTGTGCCTGGTTTAATATTCTGGTGTCACTGTCTTAAATTTTTTTTTTTTTTTAATGGGAGCAGGGCCTGGGGGGCCATTGAGGGACTCCCCAGGGCCCTGGAGTGCACTGAGGTGAAGAAGGCAGGAAGCAACTGGCTTTGCCAGGCTGGTACACAAGTTGAAACTGGGCCAGGGGGTTTGTGGACAGTGCTGGGGGCAACACTGGGCAGCAGGAGGCCACAGCCACTCCAAGACCCACATCTTAAAATTTAGTAATTCTTGCTTTTTCATTTTACGCTAGGTCCCACAAATGACAGAGTCAGTCCTGCACAGACGGATGGACAAGGCCTCCTCACCTCAGTTCTCCCTCTGAATCACTATGCTTTCTATACCTCAAAGGGCTGATTTAACCCCAACAGCCGGTCCATGGTTAAAAAGCCGCTGTTGACTTGAAGAAAGAATTTGGGATTTTTTTTTTTAAGATTTTATTTATTTTTATTTGAGAGAGAATGAGAGAGAGAGAGCACATGACGGGGGGCGGGTCAGAGGGAGAAGCAGACTCCCTGCTGAGCAGGGAGCCCGCTGCGGAACTCGATCCCGGGACTCCAGGATCATGACCTGAGCCGAAGGCAGTCGCTTAACCAACTGAGCCACCCAGGCGCCCTGAAAGAATTTGGGTTTTTATCCTGGCTCCACCACTTTGCTAGCTGTGATACATCCTCTCACCTACAAAGTAAGCGTATTAATCCCTACCACCAGCTAACTTGGTTGAATAAATGAGATGTGGATACAACCAATGGCTGGTACAAAGATGGTGTCAATAATCAGTTCCTATTTCTTTAATAATGATGAACATTAGAAATCTTAACCAAGTTACTGAGATGTGGTGAGTGCCAGAGCTGGCACCCACCTCAGCCTCCTCCTCACACATACTCTCTGTCACCAGGACTCTGGGTAAGCTCGGGCCTCACAGCCACCCTCAAGCCCCACTGAAACCGCATCTCCTCCACTCAAGGGGGCAAGTCAGACATCACCTAACAGGCCTTACCTTAAAGCATCTATGAGCTCGTACACTTTCTGCACTTCCACTCGAAGGTCACTGGCATGTTCCAGGCTGTAGGTTGTCTCCCCAGCACTAAGGAAAAATCACGGAAATGTTTGATTCAAGTTTCACCATGCTGACTGGAGAGTGGTGTAGAAAAGGGTTCTAAAGGTTTAGGGTCTTACAAAGGGAGACACAGCTAATTCTTTCCAAGTGGTATTATTTCACACTCTTGTATATAATGCAGGGCTCATTCCTTTAAGTGCTGCTAATCAAATGGAAGCTGCTTTTAATTAGCGGACGCCACAGGAGCAGATTTGTGCCTAGGCCTTTAAGGACTAGCTGTTACGCTCATCACCAAGATAAATGCAAATGAATCTACTTCAATCTACTTTCCCTAAACACTTTCACTATACCTAGTAAGACATATGAAGTGGTTTACTAAATAAGCTGGTTACCCTACATCCCAGGAGAAAGCAGCTGGCTTTTCTCAAACACTACCCCCAGGGAGAACAGGAACAATGAGAAAGCTGACCAAGGAAACACCAACACCTAGCAATACCCAGCACAGCATTATATCGATTGCCAATGCTCCTGGGCCTCATGAACAATTGCTCCCTACATGAGAAAAGCACTTTGACACCAAATTAAGGAGGGAGGAGACAGGGGATAACTGCCCAGGGTGGAGCAGGGGGCTGCAGAGAAGGCCAGAGGTGGCTTCATTCCACTTAACTCAGAGGAACAACAGCAGTTATCATGTGATCTTAGAACTGTTCATTTACAAGTGTGTCACCCCATCAGGCCTGAAATGCAAGGGCAATGATGATGGCTTATCATTTTTATCCTCAGTAACTAGCACATGGCCAAGCTTCGTCAGTGCTCACTGAAAAGAAAAACACTTTAGAAGATCTTGCAGCTGTTCATGCGGCCTCAGCAACGGCCACTCAGCTCCCTTCCTGAGGCAGCAGCAATTTAAATTAAATAAGCAGAAAGGACTGCTATGCTGACCTGGTTTACCGTCTACAAGACAGCCCTAGCTGGAAAAATCTTGGTGTGTGCTATAATTGGAGGATCCTATTGGATGTTGGCTTCATCATCTCAAACCACATAGTTTGCAAAAAGAACATCAGACCAGAATTAGGAATGCTTGCACTTTGTCTTGATATCTCCAAGTCACATGGAAAATAACAAGGTTGGCTCAAATCTGAAAGCACCCCCCCCAGCCCCCACCCCCAGTCTCAGTCACAACCAAACACACCCCCACGGAGCACCTGTCACATCTGGAGTTACCTTGCCCATGATTTGTTCACTGGGTTATGGCTGTGCTCCCACGGTAATGAAGCTCCAGGGCAGCGGACACAGTCTGCACTGTTCATTGCTACATCCCCAGTACCTCAAACAGTACCGGCACATAACTAGTATTCAGTAAATACCCACAGAATGAATGAGGGCGGATAGTGTGCTTAAAACCCTGTAGAACCAGTCTTTGGAGAGCGAGTAGGAGTTCGACATCTGGGAATGTGCTCAGCGATGGTAGTTTCCCAGCTGCATGGGGAGGCCCAGTGACCCACAGCTGTATCTGAGGCACAAAGCAAGAAAAACAACAGACTCAGGGGAAAGAGCCCCCTGGGTAACGACGTCATGAGGGAAAGTTGAGTGCCAGCTCAGACTGCCAGGAACACAGTTCTCCTTGCTGACATCCTGGAAGAAGAGAGTCCTGCTCTAATTTCAGACCAATGGGCACAGGTGGGAGGATGGGTGTTGATTCCAGTAAGTTCCAGGTAGGAAAAGAACATGAGGCAGGTGCTCCAAGCCAAGGATTCTCCATTTAGGGGAGGTAGATATCAGAATCACTTGAGCTGCTTCTCCCAGCCTACTCACAGGGAGGCTATATGCTCCATTGATTGAAATTATTGCTCAGTGAACTGCAGGTAGAAAAGAAAATGTGTCCTTTCCTCCTATTCTTCAGAACCAGTGCTCTTGGAATGAAAAGAGGAAGAATGGGGTATAGAAAGTGCAAATATAAGGGAAGAGAGGCCCTAGCACTGTAGTGGCTGAGAGGGCTGGAGAAACAGGGTGTCCTCCCCTTATACTGTCTGCTGCCAGGGGCTGCAGACACCCAGTTGGTAGGACTGGAGGAAATGGGGGTGGTCTACAATGGTTTCCCTACCTCTTTTCTGTTCCCTTCCCACCTTTTCCCCCACTCCATGGGTTGGCACACACTGGGGGAAGGAACAGGAACTGGAAGAAAAGCCCCAGAGCAACAGTAGAGGCAGGGAGACAAGCAAGAGAAGGGGTGTTTTTGCCACAGACCAACCGGGTTTAGCCGTTCATATTTTGTAAGTCAGACATTTACAGACTCCTAAGTTAGGAAACTCCTTAAGGACCACGTAAATGAAAAAGTTCATTTTCTTTTCATGTGAGATTCACATGATAGACTTAGAATGTGGGCACTGCCATCATGAAGGAAAAGCCAAGCTTTGTGTTTTTTGTTTGCTTTTAAGTAGGCTCCATGCCCAACATGGGGCTTGAACTCATGACCCTGAGATTAAGAGTCACATGCTCTACTGACTGAGCCAGCCAGGTACCCCAAGCTTTGTTTTGTGGAGACAATATAACACATTGCCACAGTAAATGGGCAAATAAAAATACAGGTTTGTTCTAAACAAGGCACATTTAATTCCACATGTATCACTACAAAGGTGGCAGGTGGGCAATACAGGCTTAAGACAAAGGCAGATAATCCTCACATAGAGAGCACATAACTGTTTTTCTGCAGGTTGGGAAAAGACTTGTTGCAATCTGATTCTAGTGGTAGCACTTCAAATTCTAGCTCACGTATCACTAACCTGCAGAAGAAGCAATGCTCTTAAGAGTGTCAGCATATTTTTTCTGCAAAGGGCCAGATAATAATATTTTTAGCTTTGCAGGCCAGATAGTCTCTGTCACAACTATTCAACTCTGCTGCTGTAGTTGTAGTTTGCAGTTAAAATCAAACAAATGAGCATGGCTATGCACCAATAAAATTTTATTCATAAAAAAAATGGCAATAACAAGCATTGGCAAGGATATGGAGAAACCGAAATGCACATGCACTGCTGGCGGAAATATAAAGTGGTGCAGTCATTTTGGAAAACAGTCTGGCAGTGCCTCAAAAAGTTTAAAATCTAGAGTTACCATATGACCCAGTAACTCCACACCTAGGTATAAACCCCAAAGAAATAAAATTATATGTCCACAAAAAAACTTATACAGGAATATTCACTGAAGCATTATTCATAATAGCCAAAAGTGGAAAAACCCAAATGTTCATCAACGGACTAACGGGTACACAAAATGTCGTCTATCCATACAATGCATTTGCACAAATGGAATGGAACGCTAACACGTGCCGCCACAAGGGTGAATCTTGAAAACGCTACACTATGTGAAAGAAGCCAGACACAAAGGATCATGTATTTATATGAAATGTCCCAAAGAGGCAAATCCACAGACAGAAAGCAGACCAGTCGTTCACAGGGAGAGGGAAAATAAGCAATGACTAGTAATGAGGGTGGGGTTTCTCTGGATGATAAAAATGGTTTGGAATTAAGACAGCAATGACGGTTGTATGACTCTGTGAAGAACCACTGACCTGTACACATTAAAAGGGTATGTAAATTATTATTAATTTTTTTGGTGTGTAAATTATATTTTAGTTAAAGAAACAGATGGCAGGTTAGATTTGGCCCATGGGCTTAAGTGTGCCAAGCCCTGTTCTAAAGGAAATGCCTGTTCTAAGCCTGAAGCAGGAGGCCTCCCACCTTCCACCCCGGGGCAGGCACCCGAGGCACACTGTCCTTGCTCACCTCCAGATGCCACACTCGGCAGCGGTGCCTACTGTCTGAGGCCCTTCCCCAACCTGCTCCATCAGAACTGGGGCCCCTTGAACATGGCTACCAGAGGACTGTAACACGTGCCACACAGAAATACAGACATGACAAAGATTCTCCACAGTTGGTCACAGAAGAAAAGCACAGCCAGAATTAAGATTTTCATTTTCAGCTACTGAGGAGCTGCGCTAAAGTGCCCGCAAACAATCGTCACTGAATTAGAAAAACTGAGGAACAGCTTACTTTAATGATGCTGCCATCCTGATGTATTCAGGAGCTTTTTGGTCAACTTTCTCCATGCAAAGTCGTAATTTCTAAGAACAAAACAAAAGAGGTGAGTGGTGCTCTCAAGGTACAAAACAGTTATGCTGCATCAACAGAGATGTATTTAAAACGTACAATTTCCAGGGCACCTGGCTGGCTCAGTCGGTAGAGCATGCGACTCAATCTCCGGGTTGTGACTTCAAGCCCCACATTGGGTGTGGAGCCTACTTAAAAAAAATTTTTTTTTAAATGTACAGTTGGAAATATGCAGAGTGTTTTTTTGTTTGTTTTTATTGTTATCAATTTCCTGATTTACAAACCTCCTTTACAAGCAGTAAATCTTGCAGGAAGGAAAAAAAGTGAGGGCAGAACTTTTGACAGGATGTTTTTGCAGGGAGCAAGGCCTTCCAGGACATAAGCCAGTGAGTTTACAAAGGCAGAGGAAAGGAATTGGTGGCTACATTCTTTCTCTGCCAGGTGATGAAAGATACTAGCAAATGGCATTGCCAGGGCTCAATTCAAAAATGAAGGAAGGAAAAAGCATGGTGGCTATTTACAAAAATGAGTTATTAGGTCATGAACTCCATACACAGGATGGGTAATGGCTACATCTGCAGCTCAGGGCAGGGTTTCATTAACACCATTTCTAGTAGTCTGAGTACTTTTGTGGTGATTCCAGAAATGCAGCCATTATGACCCAAAGACCTGCTAACAGTGACCATTCAGTGATCAGCAGACAAATAGACAGACGGTCCCAGACTTACAATGGTTAGAATTCATGATTTTTCAACTTTACAATGATGCGAAAGTGATACTCATTCGGTAGGAACAGAACCTGGAGCTTTGAATGTGGATCTTTGCCCAGACTGGCGACATGCAGTAGGACACCCTCCCGTGACGCTGGGCAGTGGCAGCCGCCGCAGCTCCAGGCCAGCTGCGTGATCACAGGGTCAGCCACTGATACGCTTACAACCATCCTGTACTCACTCAACCTTCTGCTTTTCACTTTCAGCACAGTATCCAGTAAGTTACACGATCCATTCAGCGCTTTATTATCAAACAGATTTGTGTTAGAGGCTTCTGCCCAACTGCAAACTAACGTCAGTGTTCCCAGCACGGTTAGTGTAGGCCAGGCTGGCACACTATGTTTGGTATGTTTGGTGTATTAAAGGCAACTTCAACTTCTGATATTTTCAACTCAGGATGGCTTTATCAGGATGTGGCCCCACTGTAAGTGGAGGAAGGCCCAGGCGCTCCTCTGCTCAGGGTTCTACACGAGCTGCTACCTCCGCCAGGCTGATCTCCCCCTTCCCATCTCCCATCACCTACCTATGAAACCTCCAGCTGGCTAATCCTTCTCAGCCTGCAGGTCCCCCAGCCATTGGGAGTGAGGCAGACTCACTCCCCGTCTGACTCTGAATCCCGTTTTTGCACGACCCTATGTTCCTCTCAAAGTATGCATCTACTGAATGTGTTTTGGGATTGCTGGTGGTAATGACGGCTGAGGCATTTGAATGGACTTAAAAGGGAAGCTCTATGCCCATGGGCAGTCACTCAAACCTGTAAAGCCTGAAGCTCCCAAGTGAATTTCCCAGGACTCTTCTGGCCCACTGTTCATACCTGATCCAGCTCCACTACCCCTCATCCGCAAATCCTGTCCACACCGAATGGCAACCATCCTTCCTCCTCTTGCCCCTGGGCCACCAAAGTCTCCAACCTCCTGCTTTCAAGTGGGCAAGGAGGGGTAAGGGAACAAGGTTGTTGCAACACACCCAGGATGACTCTGTGAATCACCCAGGGCCCTAGCTAGGAAACCATACCAGGACCCTTTAGCAGAAAGTAAAAATGATTCAAAGGAACAACTTCCCAAAGCATTCTCCAAAATATGCAGGCATGCACACAACATGTAACAGCCAAATCTGCATCTCGAATCAGACCCAGGACCACACACGGTGAGTCACCTCATAGAGCTTTACAATATCGGGGGTGTGCTCCTTCTCATCAATCTGCTGCTCTCTCTTGAGCAGCGTGTCCTTGCAGTGTGTACAGCAGCGGATCCGGTCGTCATCCTTTTCATCCAGGACGGAGCTTACACTGCTCACGCTGCTGATACTGCCCCGGCGGGAGCCATGGACACTGTTGGGTGACTGGCTGGGACTGGTGTGGGTGCTCAGGGAATCTTTGCTGGCACTGGTGAGCTTGTCTGTAAAGCACAACACAGGACAGGCGGCAGTGAGCCCACAGCATCCCATCACCCCACCGCTCACAACAGAGGGGAGGCCACAGGTGCTGATGCAGGCTCTGTCTATGGGCAAGAAGCACCACACCGTTGCCTTCCTGGGGTCAGGCTCTGTGGTGGGAGGGACTCCCACTGCCAGCCAGGAAAAAGCCAGACAGCCTAGGAAGGTCTCTCTTTGAGGCTCTGAAGCCCATTCCTAGCCTGACCCAACACAATCCACATTCTCCCCAGACTGTCCTGACAGACTTCCCCACTCCCAAATATCTGACTCCTACCCCTTCCAAAGCTCAGCTCAAATGGTACATCCTTCTGGAAGCCCTACTCTATTCCTTGAGGCAAAAACAATATGCCCTTCCTATCAGGTCCTACCATGTCATCCCTCTTGGAGCACTTTCCACTTTTCTCCCTGTATGACAATTCTATGTATACCCAGAGCTGCTCTATGAATCTGGGAGGGTAGGAACTATCTTATTCATACTTGTACCCCAGTATATCCAACAGGGCTACCCCATAGCAGCTGCCCAGTAAGTGTTAATTAGCACAAGATAAGAAAGGTGAATAGTGTCTCAAAAGCATAGCTTATGAAGTCTCAGGTGAGACAGAAAGTCAGTTTTAGGGAGAAAGGGAAGGTATCAAGGTAATGTGTGCCTGCTGGATGTCAGAACGGGACAGAGGAAGCATCTGCTTCTGTCCCACACTGTCCAGATGCTCCATAGCCAACAGCACATGCAGAGTCAGCAGAACTCCCCAGGGTTGCAAAACCACCTCAAATGTCCCAGAATTGGCCCAAAGCCCAAGAGAGCATCTTTAGCAACTTTTAACCAGTTGAGACTCAAAGTTCTACACCCTCTGGTTCCACCTAACCTTGTAGCCACCATCCTCATAAACGTGTCCTCTATACTCCCCCAACTATTCTATTTGCTTGTTTACTAACCTTCCCCCAGGGCCCTTCCACGGCTTTGCTCCTGCTCTGCACTCTACCCAGGATCCCTCCTGCCCTACCTTTGCAATCCTTGCTGTCTTTTAAGGCTCTTCTCAAACGTCACCTCCTAAACCTGAGCATCCATGCTCTTGATCCCCCCAGCACTCAGTGTCTCTCATATTATGATGTTACAGTCTGTTCTATATGACAATAAACTGTGACTTTTCTCTCAAAAGAAAGGACTAGCCTGCTGCTCATTTTTAAAGACCCTTTCTTATAGTCTCCTCTCAAAGCCTCAGCTGCCGCTTCCAAGCAGAGCTGACAATGATTTGGTCAGCTCTCCCGCGTGTCTGATGCAACTTCTCTCATGATACTTATCTCTTTATAAAGCAATTATTTGTAAGTCTGTATCCTCTGCTAGAGGCTAGACCCTTTGCGGAATGGACAATGCCTTATAAACCACAGGTGGGCAAACATGACCTGTAAACCAAGTCCAGCCTGCTTTTGTATGGCCCTTGAGCTAAATATGGTTTTAAAAAGGTTTCTTAAAAAACCTTTTTAAAACCTTTTAAAAAAGGTTTTAAACAACCTTTGTTGTTTAAAAAAAGAAGAGGGGCACATGGGTGGCTCACTCGTTAAGCGTCTGCCTTCGACTGGGGTCATGATCTCAGGGTCCTGGGATCAAGCCCCACTTTGGGCTCCCTGCTCGGCAGGAAGCCTGCTTGTCCCTCTCCCACTCCCCCTGCTTGTGTTCCCTCTCTCGCTGTGTCTCTATCAAATAAATAAATCTTAAAAAAAAAAAAAAACGAAGAAGAAATGTCACAGAGACCATCTGTAGCCCACAAAGCTTAAAATATTTACTATCTGATCTTTTACAGAAAAAGTTTGCCAGCCCTTGTTATCCACCACTGTATCCCTGGACCCTAGCTAGCATCGTGCCTAGCCTATAGCAGGCTTCATGAAATCAATAAATGAATGGATGAAGATCCCATGGGACATTCACTTAAACAAAAATGGTCAAAAAATCACCCACTAGTGATCAGCAAACAAGCTAGTCGCAAGAAGAACAGGGCCTAGGGCCCTGCCTCCACATTACCTACTTGCAAAAGGGAGGCTGATGAGCTCCATACACTTCTTGCACATAATAGACCCACAGAGTCGGCAGTGGTGGCGGCGGTTACGGATGCTGAACTTATTCCCACAGTCCGGACAGAAAGGGACATCTTGGTCGTTGACCCAAGGCACCACGGACTTTTCTATTGCTTTGGGAAGAACAAAACAAAAATCAAACAAACAGAAAAGCTAGCCATTTTATTTTTAAGATTTTATTTATTTATTTGACAGAGAGAGACACAGCGAGAGAGGGAACACAAGCAGGGGGAGTGGGAGAGGGAGAAACAGGCTTCCCGTGGAGCAGGGAGCCCGACGCGGGGCTCGATCCCAGGACCCTGGGATCATGGCCTGAGCCAAAGGAAGACACTTTACGACTGAGCCACCCAGGCGCCCCAAAGCTAGTCATTTTAAAAAGAGGTTTGGTCAGGGAGAAAGATAAATAGAATGAATGTGAGCAAAATTCTAGAGTTACCTCGTATCTTAGCAGATTCGGTATTTGTTCTGTCAAATGCAGTGAGCTGACAAGGAGAAAACAGTGCCAAATGGAATTAAACAGGTGATGTACATACTTTCCACAGGCAAGAGGCATCAAGCAGGAATTCACACATCTTCATTTCTCAAGTCTCATCTGTCATCCCCAACCCCACAAAGTCACAAACGCAACTTCACATCAGACAGAGTATTAGCTTTGCATCTAGAAGGCAGCTCCCTTCCCCATGACCTGATTCCAATCTCTTGTCAGTTCTCCATTTACGCAATAACCAGGGGTAGGCAAGGATGTGGTGGGTGTGGCTACTGAAAGCAATGAGGAATCCCTGATTCTCCACGGTCCTCCTGGACAATGAACCTGGGCACATATTTCTGCCCTACAAAGTACACATCAAGAACTATAACTGCAGTTGCTACCATGCCCACCATAAAATTCAGGTTATACACAACAAGCATTTCTAGGGTCAAAGTAGAACAGCCTGATTGTGGGTGTTGAAGACACACTCTGGTACCACAGGACAAGAAGGCCCAGTCCAGATGTTCCCACACTGAACGCTGGCCCTGGATGAGTACTCCTCACAGACCTTGTCCTCAGCTTCTGTTTGTTATCGAGTATCACACACTATGTCCCACTGCATGACTGTATTTTGGACACCCAAAAGAGGAAATAATTTGAAGGTAGAAAGGTTTTCCAGCAGCCAAATGGCTTCAGAGGAAAGAAAAGGAAAGCTGGATATGAGGCACATCTGTCAACCTGGGCCATCTCCTTACAGTAAAACCAGCCCAAGCTAGAACTATCTACCACGTCCTCTGCGCCTCTCTAGGTGAGCTCGAGGTGGGGCGTTTCTCTGCCAGCATCCAATATATACAATATACCTGATACACACTGCAGAAATATAATTTTTTTCTCCCAGAAAATTTATACTTGCAGAAAAGAAAATGTTTTAAAACAACAAAATTTACCTTCTCTAACCTGATTATTAATTTATTGACTTCAACAACATAGTGGTCAATTCTGGCAGCTCGGTGTTTTTTGAAGTCAGAAAGATGGCTTCTCACAGCACCTAGGACAGGAAATGGGGAGATGAATAACATGTTGTTTCTCTGAGAGAGCCCCTCTCCTTCACTGCTTATCTTCAATTAATTTTATTTTTTTTAAAGATGACCCTGTATTGTTTTAAGATTGTATTTATTTATTTATTTGAGAAAGAGACGGAGCACGAGTATGGGGGAGGAACAGAAGGAGAGGGAGAGAGAATCCCAAGCAGACTCTGCGCTGAGCACAAGCCCAACACAGGGCTCGATCCCAGGACCCTGAGATCATCACCTGAGCCGAAAACAAGAGTTGGACGCTTAACCGACTGAGCCACCCAGGTGCCCCATCTTCAGTGAATTTTATTTATTTTTATTTTAAGATTTCATTTATTTGAGAGAGAGAGACAGAGATAGAGAGAGCACAAGTAGGGAGGAGAGGAAGAAGCAGGCTCCCCGCCGAGCAGGAAGCCCGACATGGGGCTTGATCCCAGGACCCCAAAATCATGACTTGATCCGAAGAGAGACACCCAACCAACTGAGCCACCCAGGCGCCCCTTCAATGAATTTTATTTTTTTTAAAGATTTTATTTATTTATTCATGAGAGACAGAGAGACAGAGAGAGAGAGAGAGGCAGAGAGAGAGAAAGGCAGAGGGAGAAGCAGGCTCCCAAGGAGCAGGGAGCCCGATGCGGAACTCGATCCCAGGACCCCAGGATCATGACCTGAGCCCAAGGCAGACGCTTAACCATCTGAGCCACCCAGCCGCCTTCAATGAATTTTAAACACAAGTAGAAATTCACCAAGTTTAGAGTCTTACTAAAAATTCAAGGACAAGCAAATGGAAACAAATTTGCTAAAATGTTAACCACAGTTACCTTGGAGGCCACAAAGAGCAATACAAGAGACCTCAGAGTATGGTGGAGGAGAGCCTGGACTGGAGCCTGCCTGTGCTCAAATTTCAATTCTGCCACACACTGTGTGACCTTGAACAAGTTCCTTAACGTCTGTGTAACTTGGGAGTACTCCTCTACAAAATGGGGATAACAGTAGTATCTACTCCACAAGGTTGTTAGGAGGATTAAAAAGTTAAAATTTATGAAGTCCTTAGAACACTGTCTGGCACATGAATTTTTGTTAAAAAGGACAGTAACATTATGGGCAATTTTTAAAAATCTCTCATACTTTCCTGTGCTTTCCAAAGTTGGTACACTATCGTTTTTCATCAGAATAAAAACAATCCTTCTCAAAAAGCCCCCAAAATGTTAATGCTAACGGATGTTGCTGGAAGAGCTAGTTAAACTGATTCCTTGATCAGTCCAACAGCAAAGATCCAAGAACAAACCCTCTCACACAAATGGAACCAAATGGTAGCTTGTTGTTTCAGCATATCTGAAATATCCCCTCTTCCAAAACACCAACCCACCCCAGCTGGCCTCACCTCCAGCACCCAGTCCACTTCCTCTTCCCAACCATGGCCTATTCACTTTTAAGTTGTACCCCACCTGGAGCTTCTCACATACTATACTCTGCACCATCCTTGCTCTTTTCTCCCCTAACGATACTCTCTAACATCTAATTAAATTTTAGTTTCAAATTCTTAGGCGTGACCACAGATCTAAGATTTATTTATTTATTTATTTATTTGACAGAGAGAAAGAGCAAGCGCGAGAGCACAAACAGGCAGAGCGGCAGGCAGAGGGAGAGGCAGACTCCCTGCTGAGCAGAGAGCCCGACATGGGGCTCGATCCCAGGATACAGGGATCATGACCTGAACCAAAGGCAGACACTTAACTGAGCCACCCAGGCACCCGGGCGTGACCATAGGTCTTAACTTTTAAAATTTGCCATTCACTTGACCTTCCACAACTGTGACTTCCTCCAGTTGTTGAAACTGGCAAGTTAATCAGAAAATTGCTCTGATAATTTAACACTGGCAATCATGAAACAGGCTATCAAAAAGCTAATAAGAATTCATTCACGTGCCTGAAATTTCTCCTTTATGTTTCAAATTGACTTTCATATGTAACTCATTACTATATGTATACTTCCACGTTTTATTAGTTTCAGGTGTACAACATATTGAACTTTTTTTTAATTTTTTTAATTTTAAGTAATCTCTATACCCAACACAGGGCTCGAACTCAAAATCCTGAGATCACGAGTTGCACACTCTTTCCACTGAACTAGCCAGGAGCCCCTGATTTGAAAATTTCTTAAATTTTATTTTATTATTTTTTTATTAAAGTGTAATTAGCAATGTTACATTATGTTATTTTTATTTTTTATTTATTTTTTAAAGATTGATTAGAGAGAGAGCGCACAGAGGGAAAAGAAGAGGGAGAAGCAGACCCCTCACTGAGCAGAGAGCCTGATGCAGGGCTCGATCACAGGACCCCAAGATCATGGCCTGAGCCAATCATGACCTGAATCAAAGGCAGATGCTTAACCGACTAAGCCACCCAGGCACCCCACATACAGTGTTATTTTTTTTTTAATATTTATTTATTTGTCAGAGATATAGAGAGAGCACAAGCAGGCTCCCCGCTGAGCAAGGAGCCTGATGCAGGACGCCATCCCAGGACCCTGGGATCATGACCTGAGCTGAAGGCAGACGCTTAACCAACTGAGCCACCCAGGCATTCCTATAGTGTTCTTTTTAAAGCCATTTTCTCCTACCATGATGAAAATGTTTCCACTCTCCAATATGGTAGCCACTAGCCACAGGTATAGACTGAGCACTTGAAATATGGCTAGTGTATGACTGAGGAAATTACTTTTAATTTTATTTAATTTTAACTTATTTAAATTTAAATAGCCACATATAGTTAGTGGCTATCCTATCAGACAGTGCAGTTCTAAGATTTTCCTCATGCAAAAAGACACATTCCATTGTGGCCCTATAAGAAGAATATGGTAAATGACTCTGGGTAAGTATCAATTCCCACCTTAGAGCCTGTTTCCTCAACTGTAAATGGGAATGAGCATCATGACCCATTCCACCTCATGAAGCTTTTGTGAAAGATGCAAAAGATAATGAATATGAAAGTATAATAAAGCCTTAGGAGGAAATCATTATTTATCCATTGTATGGACAGAAAATATATTAAGTTTTGTTATCATACAACAGTTAAAGGACATGTAAAATTAGCTAGTTCAACATCATGTGGCATTTTTGCTAACAGCTCTGTTGAGATGTTCACAGACATACAATCCACCATTTAAAGCATACAAATTCCATGGTTTTTAGCATATTCAGAGTTGTACAACCATCACCAAAATAAATCTTAGAACATTTTCATCACCCCACAAAGATTTTTTTTTTTTAAAGATTTTATTGATTTATTTGAGGCGGGGGAAGCACAGAGGGAGAGTGAGAGGGAGAAGCAGACTCCCTGCTGAGCAGAGAGCCCAACGTGGTACTCAATCCCAGGACCCTGAGATCATGACCTGAGCCGACGGCAGATGCTTAACAGACCGAGCCACCCAGGCACCCCAAGATGATTATTTTGAAAGTCAGTAGATGGTACCATAATTATGTGTTTCAGAAAATTCAGCTGCACAGGGTGCCTGGGTGGCTCAGTTGGTTAAGCGACTGCCTTCAGCTCAGGTCATGATCTTGGAGTCCCGGGATCGAGTCCCGCGTCCAAGTCCCACGTCAGGCTCCCTGCTCAGCGGGGGGTCCGCTTCTCCCTCTGACCCTCTTCCCTCTCGTGCTCTCTGTCTCTCATTCTCTCTCTCTCAAATAAACAAATAAAATCTTTAAAAAAAAAAAGAAAATTCAGTTGCACAAATAAGTCAGTGAGTGCCTCCTGCTAGGCAGGTAACATCCTACATGAGAAGAGACAGCCCAGTCAATGGAGTCTCTGCCCGGGCTGATGTCAAACACCTGGATTCCTACCTCAGTTCTATAGTTTCTTAGCTGTTTGATTCTGGGCAGGTCCCCATCCAGGGCAGTGAGGATTACATGAGTATACATGTAAAGCATTTAATGCAGTGCCTAACACAAAGCAGATGCTCAGTTCATTCTGATCCATTTTTGCTCCACTCTGGAACATAAGGTCCATAAGAAGCTTAGACCATTCTCGTTTACTGATGCCTCCTCAACTGACTTTTTCCTTTTTAAAGGTTTATTTATTTATTTTAGAGAGACAGAGTGAGAGTGCGATTAGGGGGAGGGCCAGAGGGAGAGGATCTTCAAGCAAACTCCCGGTGAGCACAGAGCCTGGACACAGAGCCTGTGTGAGATCATAGCCTGAGCCGAAACCAAGAGTTGGACACTAAACTGACTAAGCCATCCACGTGCCCCACCCCTACTTTTTTTTCTCAGCTAACTCTTAAAACATCACCAAGTACACATAGATGTTCAAACATTTGCTGAATGAATGAACAGAACTTCTTACCTAGTTCCTGGGGTTCCCACATGTAAGGGTCGACCCCTCCATAACTGAAAGACTCATATCCTTGTGTTCCTGATTCTGCTCGGTCATCTCCTTCTCGTTTCAACAGCCTGTTCTTGGCTTTCTTAGCCTTCTGGACAAGACCTTGAAAAATGAAACAAACACCATAAATCGATCCATAAACATCTAGTAAAAAGTCAAAGGAAATCTCAAAACACAAGAGCTGATAAAATGACTATGCTTTATTTAAAAAATTTTGGATCCCAAATAAATTGTAATAATGAGTCCACAACCACTGTATTACAAATACCACAGAGCATTCATTCACTAGTCAGTATTAGCAGTAAGTTGGTTTATGTAGCCAATATACAGCTAAATTACTATTCATTGCCAAATTTAAGAGCCCAATTAAAGTATAAAATCAAATTCAATGAGAGGACCAAGGCAATGGAAATGTTTTTTTCTAGACCTTAACTGGGGAGGTGGTTACATGGGAATATACATTTTTCAAAACTCACTAAATTGTACACATAAAAACTTATGTGTAAACCATATCTTAATTAAAATAAAGTTTTTTAAAACTTAAATTCTACAGGGGCGCCTGGGTGGCTCAGTCGTTAAGCGTCTGCCTTCTGCTCAGGTCATGATCCCAGGGTCCTGGGATCAAGCCCCGCATCGGGCTCCCTGCTCAGCAGGAGGCCTGCTTCTCCCTCTCCCACTCCCCCTGCTTGTGTTCCCTCTCTCGCTATGTCTCTGTCAAATAAATAAATAAAATCTTTTAAAAAAAATTAAATTCTTACAGTATTTATTTACTCTATGGACTCATGAGTAAACACTTTTTGTTTACTTCCAGGATGGGATTCAATGAAACCAACATCCCTGGGCTAGTGTTCCCCATAATGCTTAGCTGTACATAGAGTTCTTCCCCTACTCACTTACTAAATGTATGTGTGAGGATATTGACAAAAAGCTTCAAGAAACAGGTATAACACCTACAACATAACACAGAGGGAACCAGACTTGGTAAGAAGAGAAAATGAATGCTTCTTGGATTGATTCTTTGCATGTACCAGGCACAAAACAAAGTGCTTTAAAAAAATCAGGACAATGAATGCTCACAATATTATGAAGCAGGTGGTATCCATACTTATAAATGAGGACATGACATAAAAAGGGGAAAAACTTGCCGCACCCCAGATCACAGAGCTTATAGGGCAACAGGGCTGCAAGTGGACACCTCAGCTGTTTGAAACTGAGAACCCCAGTTCTTCCAAGCCAGCATGATTCAAAAACTAAGCGTCTGAAGAACAGGGCTTTTGCCCCTTTGTACTGCGGAGAGAGGACCTGCTGTTTGTTAAAAAGGGACAGCAGTCAACTTGTGTGGGAAAAAATTCTTGATCCTATGTTGCTCTCATCAAGGTTCTCAAATTTTGGGTAATTATCCCTTTCTGCCCCTAGAATCTAGTAGAAAATATGAGATTTATTTTTTTTTTTAAGATTTTATTTATTTGACAGAGAGCAAGCACAAGCAGGGGGAGCAACAGAGGGAGAGGGAGAAGCAGACTCCCCACTGAGCAGGGACCCCCGATGCAGGACTCAATCCCAGGACCCTGAGATCATCACCTGAGCTGAAGGCAGACGCTTAATGACTGAGCCACCCAGGCGCCCCAAAAATATCAGATTTAATACAAAATACAATTCTTCTAGATTTACTAGATCAATACTTCATGGAGTTCCCGCAATTTTTAAATGCTCTGTCACCTGAGTAACATTAAAAACACTACCATAACTTTACAAAAACCTAGGGAAATGCAGATATGGAGGGGCTGGCAGGCAGAGGGGGAACTGTTACACTCATAGATATGTCTCAGACAGTCAAGCTAGTGGCTACTCTGAGATGGCTTTCTCCCACTGGAAAAAATAAGGTCCACCAGAACTAAAGGACACCATCTAAAATGCATTCAAGTAATCTCTCTTAACAACATGGGAGAGAAAACTACCTGATGTAAACAAAGGGTTAGCAAACAGGAAACTGGATTTGGCATTCACTAATTCATTTTTGCAAACAAGACTAAACTGTGTCGGGTTAAACAGGCAGTCCATGCCATTTAACCACTTTAGGAGGACAGAAGAACACTCTGGCAACCTTCCCAGGTGTAGCACTTCAAGAGGGGGTCAATTAAGAACAATCCCATATGTTTTTAAAACCACAAAGCAGAAAAAAAATAACAACAACAACAAAACCACAAAGCAAAAGCCACGGTTAATTTTCAACCACCCTTTCTTAATTAACACTTACTGTACAAGTGCTAAACTGAAGCTGAACCAGGGCTGGGGCCCAAACTCACTGATCAACCTCTACTAATGACAAATTTATATTTTCTTTCTTAAACTGCCTCCAAAACGTTATACCAAGGTTTGCTCTTTTGGTTTTAACATTTCACTTGACAAAACCAGCAATGTCATAAAATTTCTAAGAACCAAAAGACCAAATGAAGACATGATCTGCTTTTTGAATGACTTTTCAAAAATCTTTAATGTCAATCTTAAAAACTTTCCTGATTCTAAATCACAGAAAACTCCCATACAAGCAAGACTTCCTTCCTGACTAAACAAATGATCATTAGACTAAAGGAATGCTTAACTCAATTTCTTAGGTCTTTCTTAGTTCTTAATTCTTTCTAGAAAAAGAGGGAAAAACACAAGAGAATTCTTTCAAGTTTTTTTCACAACTCATAAAATTTCTACTCTATTATTCTTTAAGTGGATTCCCACATCTATTAGTCCCTAAGTAACCTTAAACATTTTTCCTCTAATAAATAGGTCACCACAGGAAGCTGAAGACATTGTCTAACCTCTGTACCCACTAGCATCAAAGTCTTAGTGACATCACAGTATATGACTCAGTTCAGCTGACACTCAGGCTGGACGCTCATTAAAAATCACGGCGGCCCTTCAACTGTCCAAGGAAACCTAGATGATCAGTTTGTTTGCATTCTAGCTGCAGGACAAACTGTGATTGGAACACAGGGTCTGGTATCATCAGTGATACCAAGTGGAAAGAGCAGCACTAGACTCAGAGGTGACAGAGACCTGGGTCAAGGCCTAGTTCTGTCAATTCCTATGTGACCTTGGATAAGTCATTCAACATCTCTGAGCTTCACTTTTTCTCTGCAGAATGAAACCAACCACCTTCTTGCAGAGTTGCTATGACAATCAAAAGAAATAATATTTCTGTGAGAACTCTGAAAACTATAAAATGCACAACATTTTTGGGGAGGCTTTCTAATAGTTATAGCTCTCCTCCAGCCTCATTTATCACAGCCCCCAGGATTTTGAAAATATTTGACTTTGTCATGTTTCTGGACAGAGGTTATAAATGTTAACGATTTCAACAATTTTTTCTGAACTGAAAAGTGAGACATGGAGTGGGACTATATGATTACAGGGGGCATGTGACTCACATGTGTGGAGGCCAAATTCCACTTAGAAATACACGATCCTCCCCTTCTCTCTCATCCAACACAGAATTGTGAATACACATCCAGACCTTTTTAATCTCACTGCCTTCAGAAATGCTTCCAGTTGGGAGAAGCAGGTGAAAGTGGGTTCCAGAGTAGTGGCATCATATTTAGGAGGACTGGAAATGAACCCTATGTATAGTTAAAATTGCTTTGAAAAAATCTTTCTGCAACTCTCTATGACCTGAGGCCTAGGAAGCTCAAAAACCATGTTTAACTTTTTGGGTTGTTTCTCCTTGCTTTTCAACTATGATCTTCCTTTTTCTGGGCTGTAGAGGACAAGGGATAAGTAAAGAAGGAAGAATGGCAGAAGGCTTGAATTTGTGACAGGGAAATGGGTGTACAATGTGCCTCCACTTTCAGAGCAAAAGGAAAGGAGTTCCACTCCAAATTCTTACAGGCTGGCAATTAGATAATTCAGTGTAGCAAGAGACAGCAAAGCATAAGACTTACATTTACTAAGTTCAAAGCCTGGCCCTGCCTCACTGTGTGATTTCAAGCAACTTATCTAATTTCTCTGTGACCAGTACCCTCATGAGTAAAGTGGGTCTCACAGTCCAATAGTTATTGTGAGAATTAAATGAAGTTCATTCATGGGAAGACTTTGAACAATGCCTGGCACATGGTAAGCATAAGATACATGTTCATATATGTACACTGCTATTATTATTAATTTTCTATTGTTTATCATGTTTTGGTGGCATCATGGAAGTTAATGAAACCATCCCATGAGTTAACGCTCCCACTGACAGAATAGGATAAGCAAAAAATTCTCGCCTCTTACTTTTAATTTGCCCTTTGACATCACGGTCTTCCCCAGAGTGCTCTTCCTCATAATGTGACTGAAGCTGATAGAAAGACTGCAGGTTCTTCAGGCACAAAGGGCAAAGGAAGCCCTCCCTCACTTCCCCAGGGTCATCCAGAGAAGCCATAGCAGTGTCCCTCTCAACCCCTGCAAGGCAGGGGCCTCATGCCAACAGTCAGCTTGATTCCTCCACAAGGAACCAGGGCTCTCACAGCATTAGCTTAACCAAGCAGCACACAGATGACGGAGAAGTAGTATCATGGCCCTGGATGAGGTTTCCTCTTTGGAGTACGAGAAGCTCTGAAACAGGAAAGAGCGGGGAGGGGAGGGGGAAGAAAAAAAAGCCCATTCAGGCAAATTAGCGGCAATTGAGAGTTTTCTTTGTTCTTTTCACAGTTCAACAAGATTTCTTAATGTCTGTTCAGTACAAGTTTGAAAACACAAAACTGCTTTCTCAAATCCTTACACCAAAACACAAAACCTTTAAAGATTTGAGAACCTCACTGGACAATGGCAACTCAATGAAGTAGGGAGCACAGATTCCTGAAGATAAGAAAATTCAACTTCAAAAGCAAACAATACCAAGGCAGTTCTCTAACATTCACTCCAACTGGTCCAACTTCATAATTTGTATGCCATTTTAGCCACTGGGGAAATATCTGAAGTACTTACCAACATACAGAAATTTTTGACTCTTCACCTTGGTCATTTAGTCAACCACATATACTGAGCTCTTACACCTATGTCAAAAATGCAAATAGAAAAAGAAATAGTGTCTGCCTAAAAAAACAAACAAAAGTTAAATCAAAACCAACCAAACAAAAATCCCAACCTTAGTCTAAGGAGGAGCATTAGAAACCCAGTGGTAAAAAGAAAAATCTACTTTGTGCTTTATATTTGTAGAGTACTTTCTCTACAATGAGTTTACTGGATTTTATAAGCCAACAAATGACAGTTGAACAGCAAGCCTAATGTTCTCACTGCTTCAAAAACAAAAGGATTTGGTGCTTAAACAATTCAGGGCTTAATAAGTTACATTTTCACTTTTATTGGGCCATGGCAAAGTCACTTCCAATGTCACCTCAGAAAAACTCCCAGTCATAGGGAGAATCCAGACAAAACCATTCTACAAAAGTGGAGAAATTTCTCTGCAAAATCCTGAGGTCACAAACTACAGGAAAGAGTAAGAGGAAATACATGACCCTCAGCTTTGGATGGAGCTGATGAGAGGGCCTGTGAGGAGGGACTGCCTGCTCCTCAAAACTGAAGGGTAGCTGTGACCCAGAAAATAAACAAATGAAACACCGGGACCCTGTTTTTTTTCCTCTAAGAAACCTCATGACTATATACACACAGATCTCAGTCCCTTTTCCAGTCACTGAAATAGTAGCTCCAGTTCCCACCGCAGCCAGTGGTTCATCAGATGCCCTGACTCTGAAAGCCCCCTTCCTTCCCATGCATTCACCCTAACAACCACAAATCAAACACACACACACACTACACACACACACACACCCTTCACATCTCAACCCAACCTTCCTCAAGGAAATGCCCCTTATTGAGGCATTCTACCATGGGACAGCTCCTGCACTTCCTTCAGGGCACTTATATCAATTTATAATCACAAATACATAAAGTAACTAAGTACATAAGACTCTAAGTTCTGTAAGGGCAGAGACCATGTGCGTTTTTCCCACCACCTTATCCCCATGAAGAAACTCAATAAAGCCTCAAGAATGAATGAATGCGTGAACGAACTCTAAAATCACACAACCAAACACAACACAAACCAAAGAAATGTACTACAAACCACCAAGCCAGACCCCACAACCATAACATATGCAAGCCCCTCACATCCTACACCACGTTAAAAATAAACATAAAACCTACATATCCCGAAATTATACACCCATCATGAATGCTACCCGGCTACACGCCGCATACACTACACAGCCCACAGTCGCACTCATCACCGCCTCGACCGCACACAACACTCGCCACATAATTCAACACGATTATGTATACGTCGCATAACCACACACAACATGAAAGACTCGACCCTACAGAGCAGGCATGACAACTTCACACATCGCACAGACGCCACACCAAACACTACAAACAACTCCACACAAACTGGGACCCAAACGCCTCAACCTCACACAACCAGGGAACCAAACACAAGCACTCGGGAGACAACCGCCCGCCCACCCTCAGCCGCATAACCAAACACAACTATGCACGCCCCGCCTAACCACACAGCCAAACAGAGCCCAATCATCGCAAGCACACACAGGCGAAACTCGCGGCCCGAAAGCCACATCTCCCACCACACACGTCACACCCACCACAACCACACACATCCCACACCCGCACGGCCCGCCCGTCTCTGTTCTTCAGGGAAGCCGTGCTCGCGCCCCTCAGGCCCTGCCCGGCCCTCTGTACCCGGCCGCGCTCTCACTGGCACGCAGGCCCGTCGGGTCCTCCTGCCCGGGCTCTAGGCCTTTGCAGTCCCTCACTCAGCAGCAGCCGCCATCTCCATCGGAGGCTCGACGCTCGGCAGGCGCGCCTGCGCGGCACCGAAACCGGAAGACAGGCTGACAGACGCCTGTCGAGCGCCGAATCTCCGAGGGCGCGAAGGGGCCAAGGCGGGTTCCAACAGCGCAAGGCGGCCCGCGGCTTCTGCGCAGGCGCTTTAAGAACCAACGGGGTGGGACTCGGTAATCTTGCAAGGTTTTCCAGTCCCAGGTGCTTACGAGCAACGCGTTGAGGTCAGTCTCTAGCTCTCCTCTCCGAGGTAGAGGTGGGAAAACTAAAACCCGAGATTCTTTCGCTTTTGGCCAACGTGTGCGATGGATGAGGGGGCGGGGGTGGGGAGATGTTTTAACACTTCCTCCCCGACTCCCAACTGCGGTTCTGAAAAAATTGGGGTCGATTTAAAGTTCCTGAGAGCTAGAGATAAAGGGAATATTCAGGAGACTTGGAGGATGTGGAAAGAGCCAGAATAGAACCACGTTAGACGTGGAGTATCCGTCCCGAGAGTATATAGCATGGTCAAATCTGTGGGAAACCTGTGGCATTTTCAAATGCAAATCAAAACCGCAATGAGCTATCACCTGACACCTGTTAGAATAGCTCTTATTGAAAAGACAAGAGGGCCGCCTGGGTGGCTCAGTCGTTAAGCGTCTGCCTTCCCTCAGGTCATGATCCCAGGGTCCTGGGATCGAGCCCCGCTTCGGGGCTCCCTGCTCAGCGGGAAGCCTGCTTCTCCCTCTCCCACTCCCCCTGCTTGTGTTCCCTCTCTCCCTGTCTCTCTCTCTGTCAAATAAATAAATAAAATCTTAAAAAAAAAAAAAAAGACAAGAAATGACATGTTGGTGAGTTCATGTTCCAGGAGTGTTACTTGACTCCTTTGCCTCCTGGTAGCACCATCTGTAAAATGGGACGCAAATAATAGTTTCCGGGGTGCCTGGGTGGAGGCTCAGTTGATTAAGCGTCTGCCTTCGGCTCAGATCATGATCCCGGGATCCTGGGATGAGTCCCGCCTCGGGCTCCCTGCTCCGTGGGGAGCCTGCTATCTCGCTCCTAGGTTGGAGGATTAAATCGGTTACGCTATTTTTAAGGGTGAGAATGGTAATGCTTTACACTTTATCAAAACCATTTTCATTATTTCCACTTCGTGGGGTTATGAATATTGAGTGAGGTATGTGTATGTGGCAGTGAGTGTGTGTGTGTGTGTGTACGCCTTTAACACTAGCTTTGGCCCTGGACAAGAGCACTGCTTCTGCGATTAGCACTGGGCCTCCAGCACCTTCCATTTAAGGACACAGGGCTCCCAGTAGGGAGATTATTGAGTGGAAGGCAGTGCCCAGTGAAAAGGCAGGGAGCTAGGGGTCCAGAGGCCTGGGTTCTAGCCCTGGCCACACCTTACTTTGTGACTTTGAACAGTTCCCTTCCCTCTCTTGGCCTCAGTTTCTTCACCTGTACAGATAAAATTAGTTCCAAAGACTTGCAAGCTCTGCTACTTTTTTCAACCTGATGACCAATTTTTGAACTTTACAGGGTTGGCAGGAATGGACAGTGGTTTCCCTTTGTGCATTGGCACAGACAGGGAAGAGACCTTGCCAACCTCTCAGAAGTAAAACAGGAGACCAAGCTCTGCCTCTCTGTCGCTGGCCTCTGTCTTAGGTCCTGGTAGCCAGGCCTTGGGGAGTGAAAACACCCCAAGGTGTGGGGTGTAAGTGTCTGGGACCAGATAAGTTCCAGGACAGGTCGCTCTTACAGGCAAGAGTATGTTTGGGGTCAGGTGATGGATCTCTTATTAAACCATTATGATTTTGCCTCTTGTTCTACCATTTACAAAAGCCAGTGTCACATTCACCATTTCACTTGCTCAGAAAAGCAGTGGCAATGTGACCTGCAGCTAGCTTGTGAATTAATTCTGCAAATCATGATGGATCAGCCACTGCTGTTCTATTGCTATTTTTTACAAAATATTTATTTTATTTATTTATTTATTTGACAGAGAGAGAGAGAGAGCGAGAGCAGGAACACAAGCAGGGGGAGTGGG